TAGGGGGATTGCATATTTTGCTAAGATTTTATTCCAAACGCCTTTACTGAGTGTATTTTGATAGCGTTTTAATTCTGTCTAATTCTGTCACAAAGTTTCAAAATGTTTGACTTCTTGGGACACAAAGGGTTAAAAGATAGCCTGTTTAGTCAAGTTTCCAAAATGTACAACACTTGTCATTTTTGTTGTCATAAAAAATATTATTGCCTATTTTTCTGCAAAAAACACGTTATTTAAAAAAATTCATACTTTTGTATGTTATCTGTATTTACTTTTTATTTCCTCTTAACTTTGTTAGAAGATGTGCCAGTCAATATCTACGAACTACAAAATGTGGTTTCAACAAGATGGTTGCCCTTATGTCTTGCAAAAAGACTCTTTCAAATAAGGTTAACCTAAAGACAAAATTAAACAAACAAATTTATTTATTATTAATTTTATAGCATTATTTTTTTAAAACTAAGGCAAATGCTCAAATTATTTGCCGTTGGCACTAATACAAGCTCTGCATTGTCACAGAAAAGATCTTTTTACTCCATCTTAATCTTAATCCATCTTTCTGGGTATTCTGTATGCAATCCCGTACAGGACAAGCATAATGAGCTAGGCAACCATCTTGTTGGAACCACATTTCTCTGTAGATATTGATGCCACATCTTCTAACAAAGTTGTTAAATCATTTTGGAGGAAATACAAATAACATACGAAAGTATGAATTTTTTAAATAACGCATTTTTTGCAGAAAAACAGGCAATAATATTTTTTAGGAAAAGAAAAATGGCAAGTGTTATACCATTTTGGAATCATGACTAAACAGGCATGATTAAATGACGAACATTTCTGACCGTAGTACCTAAAGATATGGTGTACGGGAACGATTTTTAACATTTTCAAAAATATGTCTATTACCACTTACTTAACTAAGAGATATAGAATTTTTTCTTATTTTTACCAGAACAGGTATGAGTTGGCCTCTCACCCTGTGGCCGCTTGACGTTGAGTTTCGGGACAGCCTGTATATGTTTATTCCCCAACAAAATTAAACACTAAGCGAAAACATTGTAATCGTCTCTCAGATTTACAAGCCTGCATATTCTGTGTAGCGGAGCGCTAGCCTGCACGTTGGTTCTACTATTCTTCAAATAGAAGACAGAGCTGTATCGGGTAACGTGGCTGGATACATTGAAGTTGATGCAATAGAGTAATCAGTTACAATCCGTCTCACCACTCACCAGCTTTATAATAAATTTAACGTCGAGATCATTACTTCGAGTGTCAAGCGAAGAAAAATGGTGACGTTGCAAAAGAGATTGATAGTCAGTGCTACGAACAGGATAAGTTCCATCCACGCAAAAGGAAAGGTACATTACAAACCTTTTTGAATTCTCTCCAATAGAAAAAAATATGCGAAATATAATGCGGTGACAACAGAACCATACTCCAGTCTTGGAAGAACAAGCGCCCGACAAAATGATATATATACTGCAGAATCCGTATTGCATCCTCGCAGCACAAAAAGTTAGAAGAGTCTGCTATCAAAAGTTGCTCCCAGATCTTTGACAGAAGTCAACTTAAGCAGAGTCGTTTTACGTGTAAATCTGATAACATTACACTTCTTCACATTAATCCTGAACTGGTTACGATCGCATCATTCCACTAAAATATCAAGATTCGACTGCATCAAAGCCACCTCATCATCCGAGGTCATAGGGCGAAATGTCTTAAAATCATCAGCATAGGCCAATATACCAGACTTAAATCTGTTTAATAAGTCGTTAATAAATATTACAAACAGTAGTGAACCCAAGTTAGAGTCTGTGGGATACCAGATCGTGCAATAAACTCCACCGAAGCAAAGCCATTATAAAGTACATAACAAAGCCTAGGGGAAATGCCAAACATACTGAGCTTCTGGAGGAGAAGATCGTGATGGATCGCATCAAACGATCCCCTATCCCAACCCCTATCCAGGGATTCACATATTACTTCTGTAATCACCCCAAGATTAGTAACCGTTGAACGACGCTTAATAAACCTATGCTGGTGCTGCGATACAAACGATTGAACTTGCGGATAAATAGCTCCATAGATGATTTGCTCAAATTCTTTAGCGAAGTGAGGAGATGGGACGAGAATCAGCAATGCTGTTACGATCACCACGCTTGAAAACGGGAATTATCCGTAATCGCTTCCAGATCTTAAGAAGCTCATCTGTCTTTAGACACAAGTTCATGATCACGAAAAGCAGGGCAAAAAGAATTGCGCTACAGTAACCTGTTCCACACAGTGATAATCTTTAAAATGATAGATGGATACATAAAGTGCGAATCAACCAACTCGTAGGTAGAGTCACCACCAAAAACTCCCGAAAAGTAATCGACAAAAGCATTAACTATATTATAGGGAGTATCGTAGATGCACCCATCTAAAGCAATTTCACCAGGGAGTCGTGTAGTCATAGTTTTATGCCTTATATAATTTCAGAAGTTACGAGGATCAGAGGGCAGTGACTACTCAGCACTACTTATAAAGACTTTACAGGATGATTCAAAAAACCGCTAACAGACTTCTAGGGCAGGTAATACGTAAAAAATTAAGATGAAAAGTCTTAATATACATGCGGTCGCAAATGCCTCCTTAACGAGATATAACGGGTCAAAGTTTTTTTTTAAATTAAGACTATTCATCTTAATTTTTCCTGTATTATCTACTCTAGACGTCTGCCAGCGGTTTTTTGAATCAGCCTGTATACGAATCAGAGATCTTTCACTTAGGGCCGGTTGTACCACCTCCCGATAAGTTTATCCGATAGATAAATTGGCGCACTAAGCCAATGAGAGCGCTTAAAACCGCTGTAACCATGGTAATTATCCGCTAGATAGTTTATCCGATAGATAAATTGGCGCACTTAGCCAATGAGAGCGCTTAAAACCGCTGTAACCATGGTAATTATCCGCTAGATAGTTTATCAGGAGGTGGTACAACCGGCCCTAAGCCAAGTAGAAGTATCTCAATCTTCCAAACTCCGCATGATAAAAATCACATTTAGTTCTCTTCCACTTTCTTCTATAGAAGAAGTCTTTTAACTTTAAAAGATTTTTAATTTCATGAGTGTACCAAATAGGGAATTTGGCAGTATGATACGCTCTTTTTGGAATAGTAGACTGATCCAATAGTTCATGGATCTTCATGTAAAATAATCGCACAGCATCATCAACATCTACGCACTGATCTAGAAAGGACCAATTTGTTTCGAGGAAATCACCATACAAGCCATGAAAGCGAAAATCATAACGACTGCCACAAGCTGGAAAAATTTATACAAATCTTCAGATACAAGAGGCAGGTCATCACGAACGAGTTCGAACTGACGCTGAATGTTAGTTAAAACTAAATTCAACAATCTACCGTTGCAGTTCAGCACATGATTCAGTTGATACAGGTTTAGAAATCAAGAGCATTAGCACAATGGGATTTACTTAAACCATCTATGTTAACATAACTAAATACAACAGCCAATGGAATGGGGTTAAAGGTAAATTTTAGTAAAACAAAAATAGCTTTCAGCAACCTAGGACACACCATGAGGATGAGTAAAAAAATCAGATAGGTGAGATAAAGTTCGGAATACGATTAGGCAAATTAGAACACATACGCAGAAAAAAAAAGTTCAAACCAGTTGAAAGTTATGTAGAGAGTACTGTACGTTAGCTTAAGAGATAGAACCAAAATGAGGATATTCGAGAGAAAACTGGCGTCATGGACATAATAGCACGAGTCGTAGAGCTAAAGTGGCAATGGGTGGCAAGTGCAGGGAGAAAACCCCCAAGAAGATGGAGATTCAATATAAAGAGAATTGAGGGAGTCGATGGTTTGAGGTGACCCAGGATAGAAAAACATGGAAACTTATGAAAAAGATCTTTGTCAAAAAAGGGACAACTGATGGCCGAAAAGAAAAATAGAGAGAGAGAGTTGTCAATAGATAGAGTAAAATAACTGAAAATTCTTAAATGATATAAATCCAAGAAATAAAAATGTATCTTCCGTTCATCCAAATGTTATTACCGATATTCAGAAGAAGCCATAAAAATTAATTTGGAATCATAATTTTTTTACAATAACATTAACAAGTGTCTGCGTTGATTTTTGTAACAAAAAATTAAAACAAAAAGCATTTATTCAAAACATCAAAGCAGTAACTTCGTTTTAGTAATCACAATTTCTGTTTTTTAGTAGTAACGGATGTTCGTTTCGGCATTTCGAGTGATACACTATACGTTTTCAGTTTTCACGTTTTCATGCACTAATTGGGCCAATTTTCCCGATTCGAATTCGGGGAATAACGGTACCCTTTGACGCGTATCTACGTTTTTAGAGGGAACGATAAACATCAGAATTGAACTAATAAACCTTTTCGATTCCAATGGGGGGAAACAAATTATTTATAATTGCTTGCGGGAAAGCGTATTCTCATTTTTCGAATTAAATCATCAGTTTATGCAAAAATCGTCGATCCACAGCAATAAACCAAATCGGTTTAATAACGTTGCGCCTCGTTAAATATCAAAATAACGTTACTCTACAAAATGTTTTAATTACATTCATTGATTTATACGAAAATCGATTATTTTTTTTTTTAAAGTATTCTTCATATTTAAGTTTTGAATTTTTTAAAACGAAATATTATCGCAAAACGATTAATGTTCAATGTTGTTATTGAGGGCGACATTGAGAGAGTGATCGATTCTTTTTTAATGGTTTTACTGAAACGTGCTTTTATTTTTTTTTTAATTTTTTATGTCGAAATACGAAAACCACGCCGAAGTTATAACGACATGGAAATGCATGCAAAGCGGAAACATAATTGCGAGAACGAAATGCACTTTTCTTCCCTCATAAAATACGAATTAAGATTCGTAAAGTTGGATGAAATATAAAAAGCGTCTTAAAAAAATGTACACGAAATAAATATTAAAGTAAAAAATTAAAAAAACAGTTACCTAATTGTTTAGAAGTAACATTGGCGATTAGGAGATAAACGCCGAAAACGACACTCGATGTGAACATTTTCAAAAAATTTTTTGGACGTATCTTGTTAATAAATATTTGATGTCGCGTCTTAAATTTGATATCGACACGCGAAAAGTTGTGTACTTCCCGCGAAAAGCGCGTGGTGACTGAAAGCTCTACGATGCTTGAACGCGCAGTGTAAAGCTCTCAAGGGATGGTTTACGCGTGCGCTAGATTTGTAAGAAAACTGCGAGGTAAAAACAAAAGTTTCAGAAATTTTTTGTTAAAACAGTACAAGGAGAAATGTGGCACAATGAGGAGTTTCTACATTTTTCATTAGCACGTTTGAATTTTGTATGCCACCCCTCTATTCAATGTCGCTTACTCGAGCACCCAAAAACAAAGTAGTAAACTATAAATGTACAAAAGGGATTAATTACTTTTCGAACAATTTGTAGCCCTCACCCCGGGTTTTTCCGTAGCCACATAAATTTTTAACAAGTTGAAATGTTTATTAACCCCTCCATCAATTTAACCTACTAAACTATAAAAAAAGAAATTTAAAAATTTAGATTTAAGCTTGATGAATCTTTATTAGCTTAATAATCCTCAACGTTCGGATTTGAAGCCACAAAAGCAGAACAAAAGCAAGGAAAACATTTATTTAGGTCGCTTCATTCCATTCTCGTTGGCTTTTATTTCATCTTCCCTAAATTTCCACCGCAAAAATGTATCTTCCATTTATTATCCCTTAAATTTAAAAATTCATTTAAAAATCTTTTGCAAATCATGAAAACGTCACCTGGATAATTTTCTTTATGCACGCAAAGGGGTTTTGTGAATAAGGTTGTGGACGTTAGTTTCGAATCGATCGAGAAAAACGTAGGCGACCAAAAGAGAAATCGAAGGGTAATCGAAAAGTAATCGAAGGAGCGGAGGCGTAAATCCGAGAGTCCTTTTAAATAATCTTTATGAAGACTTTTATCTTTCGGACGCGGGGGTGTGAGAGAGGGTTTGTACGGGAAATGGAAAGTTTCGGGGGAGGACCGAACGCGCCGAAGAACTACGACGTTGCCGGCGAAAAAGGGTTTACGCTCCGGTTCCGCATTTTAATCGAAAGCGATTCTTCCTTGAGGGATCGAAATCTGTGAATTAGGTGTTGCTCGAGAATGAAAGAAATTTTCTTTTAAATTTCCTTCGAGAAAATATTCCACGAAAGTGATGCAATTTTAATCCTAATCCTACTTATTAAGAACAACAATGTTGCAATTATAACCTTAACAAAACTTATCAAAGAATGTTGTTAAACTTTAGTATATCACGTGAGGTTTATTTCTGGTTTTTAGTAAATGAGTTATATTTTCAATTAAAAGTTGAAGTGTACTATTTAAAATAATGTATAAAAAGTTAACATCATGTCTAAAATCACTGAGGTATCAAAGTAACTTTCTGACATGTTCTCTAGCCACACGTCTCTCAGGACGGCTAAACCGAATGATTCTAGTTCTAGGTCTAGTCTTAGTTCTAGTGATAGTGCTAGTGCAATACTAAAACTAACACTAGACCAAGAACTAAAAACATTCAGGATTAGCCGTGAGTCTCTTAAGACGGCTAAACCCAAATGATTCTCGTTCTGGGTCTTGTGTTACTTCTAATGATAGTGCTAGTGTAGAACTAGAACTAACAGTAGTGTAGTTCTAGTTAGGGTAGGGTAGTTAGGTAGTTAGGTAGCTAGTTAGGTAGTAGGGTAGTCTAGTGTTAGTTCTAGTTTTAGTTCAATAAAAATATGCAACATAGTGATATTTTATGCTAACTAGTGCTACCAGCTGTCTTAAGAGAGATATCGTCGAAATAATTTACTAAAATTTCAGGATCATTCCTTGCCAAATAACTTAAAAAATTGTTCTGAATTAAACGACCATTTTCTGAAGACCCAGTGCTCTGGTGATTGTAGAGTTGATAATCTGATAAACGTTTACAATAACTCTAAGTTTGGCCCTAATATCTTTAAATTTAGCCTCATTTCCGAAAGTTCTATCATGAATGTATTGCAGGGCGTAAGGTCGAATGCTGTCGGCGCGGATGGTATTGGAATTCATTTTATTAAACTGGCTTGTCCTGTAATTTTATCTCATATAGTAAACATAATTAATACTTGTCTACTGGAGGGTGTTTTTCCTTCACTGTGGAAAAAGTCGATTGTCATTCCGGTACCTAAAGTGTCTAATCCCATTGATTTTTCTTCCTTGAGGCCCATAAGTATATTGTATTCCTTGTCTAAGGTCTTGGAAAAGATTGTTAACAGCCAGCTGATAGACTTCCTGGACTCCGAGCGCATAATTCCGGTGAACCAGTCTGGCTTCAGGGTTGTAGTTGATGACATTGTCACAGCTACTGACTCCAATAAATTGACCCTGTTAGAATTGCTGGACTTTTCGAAGGCATTCGATACACTTAACCATAATTTATTACTGTCCATTCTTAAACATATTGGTGCCGACCCTGTTGCGCTGGATTTTTTCTCCAATTACCTTAAAGGTAGAATTCAATCTGTTTGTGTTGACGGTAACGTCTCGGGACCTTTGGAGATTGAGTCAGGAGTGCCGCAGGGCTCGGTATTGGGGCCCATCCTGTTTAAGATTTATACTATAAATTTTAATAGTTTTGTTGATTTTTGTAAAATTCATTATTATGCTGATGACACTCAGATGACTCATTAAGAAGGACTTAATGAGTTCAAGCGTGATCTGTTTAGTATTGTCAGTGGGGCTCGGGAATACTGTCTAAGAATTAATGAAAGGAAAACTTAAATGATCCTATTTGGTCCTACTAAATTGAAAAAAATCTTTATCGACAGATTCTATCACATTTCGCTGGGAAATGTGCTTCTTCCTCTGAGTGGATCTGTTAGGAACCTTGGCCTGATTATTGATGAGTCACTAAACTTTAGGGAACATGTTAATATGCTGTTAAAGCGGGCATATGGCTCTCTGAGATTGATTTTCAGTAATCGACATTGCCTTGATAATTCTGTTAAAAAACTCTTGTGTGACTCTCTCGTCTTATCACATTTTAATTATTGTGATAACATTTATGGTTCATTTATTGACTCCCGCCATCAACAGAAAATTCAAAAGCTCCAGAATTCCTGTGTCCGGCTGATCTTTGGGTTAAGAAAGTAGGATCATGTCTCTTTTGCTTTTAAGAAACTTAAATGGATGAATATGAAGTCGCGTCGGTATGATCACAAAGCATGTTTTTATTATAAGATTATTACGGAGCGGAGCCCCCCTTATCTATTCGACAGAATTAACTTTAGAACGGATATACACAATGTCAATACCCGGTTCAGCGGTAGGTTAACTCCTCCTTCCCATCGTTTGGAATTTTTTAAGAGATGCTTCTCATATCAAATTACATCTGTTTATAATAATCTTCCTAAATATTTAGTGGGTCTACCCTTGGACCGATTTAAGAAATCTTTGCGGGACTGGGTTTTGGGTGTGTGACTGTGGGCTTGTGCTTGGTGGCCTCGGGGGATGAGCTTCTTGTATGATATTTTTTGGACACTCTATAGTATAGTATGTGTGGCTAACTATTGTGCATGTTCAACATTAGCCTATGACGGTGCTCAGTTGTCATTAAATTTTTTTTAGTTTATTATTGTTTTTGATTTGGGTTTGAGTGGTAGAACAGGTGTTACCTGAACTTCGCCTAAATTCAGGCTTTAATGTATTTTATTTTACTTTAGCATGTACTTATCATTTTCTTTACCTTTGTATATGTATAATATTTTTTTTCTTTTTAAGTTTGTACTTGATGAAGCCTGAATAAAGTTATTATTATTATTATATGGTTAAACGGAATGTTTCTAGTTCTAGGTCTAGTGTTAGTTTTAGTGCTAATGTTAGTTTACTGTTATTTGTTATTCAGCACTAAGTAGATTATTGTATATTTTTATTGAGCTATAAGAGACACTGCCTTCTCCATATTAAACCGTTATATCGAAGTTTTACTCTAATGTCTAATTATATTGACATGTTGTTGGACATGTTGCATTTTTTGTGGGACAAAGTAAATAGGTACGCCCTGATTTCTATGGAAATATAACTATTTTTGTATATTAATAATAATAATAATAATGCCTTTTATTGAATTAAATAAACTTAATTATAATGCATAAATAAAATATGTATGGCACATCAAAAATGTACCCCTGCTCACACCCAACACACTAACGAAAATTTTATTACAAAGCAAAACGCAAGATTGCGAGCAATGTCACGGCAAGTGAGAATAGTTAAAGTAAAAGGTAAAATAGGGCACACCATATACAAATAAAAAATAAATTAAAAAAAAAATCAAAATAAAAGAAAAAACTGTTGAGCTCTCATTAGCAAGTTGACAAGGGTAGACTTAAAGGCCCTGAGAAATAACATCTTTAGGTCATCAGGCAAATCGTTGTAAAGTACACAAATCTGGTACGTGAATGTTCTTCTAAAAAGTGACAACTTATACTTAGGAGGAGAAATTCTACCTCCGAACCTCGTATTCAGATTGTGCACATCACAACGATATCTTATTTTGGTCAAACACTGGTCAAAATCTTATAATAGTGACAGAGCGTTAGGAATTTACGTCTATTGAACATAATTAACCAACCAATGTCACGAAGTTTATGTGAAATACGAGCATACTTTCGAATACCATATACAAACCTCAAACAAGCATTCTGCACTCTTTGAATGCGTGGAGTATCAATACTATCAATTGAGGCATGGTAAAGCGGAGCACAATAGGCAAAATGAGATAGAACCAGTGAATCACACAGCTGCTTCTTTACTGTTAACGGCAAAGAGCGACGATGAGGGTATAATGCACGAAGACTGGCATATACTCTACGCATAAGTAACGAAATCTGCTCTTTGTATCTAAATGAGTTATCCATGATAACACCCAAGTTTTTTACACATTTACTTATCGGAACAGTAACATTATTAACACTAATTGTAAACTGTGGGATAAGCGATTTGATCACCAAAGAACTACCGAATAAAATTGCTTGAGACTTAGAAGGATTCAAGTGGAGATTATACTTTAGTGTTAATTGATATAAGTCACTATTTAGGTTCTGGAGAGCTATGTGCC